TCATCTAAAGCACTGAAGTCCCCTCTTAACTCAGTTAAGGCCTATAAGAAAAAATTGAACCATGGGAGAAAATAGCTGCTGACAAAAAAAAAAGAACACAAAGGCCAATAAACATTGACCAAAAAGCTCTTTTGATAACCCAGAAGATTTTTTAAAATATTTTCATGTAATACACCCAATTTTATCTGCATTGCACACTACTTTTTTATTGCACCATATAAAACTATTGTTTTCATTCACAATAGTTTAGTCACTGATCTTCAGTACTTGTATTCACATGTGCTCACAGACATATACATAACTCCGCTTTGACAATGAACAAACTCTCAATTTCCTTCCTTATTTGTACTCTATCTTTTTGCTCCCCTGGAGGCAGAGGCTGAGATGCACACCTTAAACAGCCTCTAGTGCAGATGAAGCCAGAAAAAATCAAAGAGACTGTCTTCTTTGTGTGGGTGTCACTTTTGGTTTCATGTTTTTTAAGCTTTTAGATTACTTGAAAGGAACATCCCAACATTTAATGGGGGATTAGTAAGTTATCTGCCTGTAAAGTTTGGATTTTTTTTCCTTACAAATCAAAGCATTTGAAAGTGTTTGCGGTCCTTTCAACTACTGTTTTTAATTCATTCAGTTCAGTCAGAACGAGTTGAAAGGACTCCAGGCTGCCGAGAGATAGATAATTCATCAGAAGGTGCAAATCCATACCTGCTTTTATTTTCTTAAAAAAAAAAAGTTCAACATTACTGCAGAACAAAAGGGAACCTTATTTTTTCTGTGCCGATTGAGCTTTGAATAAATGCTGTGTTTTCTTCCAGTATTGAACGACATTTTCAGGAAAAGCATTATTCTATTTGTACATGAAACCGTAATGCAAAATTTTTCTGCGAAACCATTTTAAATAAGCCGCTCATATCTGCTGATTTGTTATCCTTTCACATTGCTTAGCATCCGTTGGCTGCAGTTAGAAGACATTCATTCTACATATAATTCATTCAAAAACCAAGGATAAACAATCCTTTAGAAGTTCTATGAAAGTTCTTAATCCTGTTCCATTCTGTTCTTTACAGTCACATCACAAGCTGATATCGGCTGGATAATTAGCCGGGTTACGTATATTACCAGCATGTTCTGATGGACTAGCCTGCGCTACTCCATGCCTCACAGAATGATACCACTCTGCCCCTCTTACATTATTTGACAGATCAATAAAAGAATGTTGAACTGTAAGAACAATAAGACTTGTTGCAATTTTTTTTAACAAAACTATTCCAGTGACGCTGGAATACCTTGATTTTGTCATCTCACATCTTATGAATCCAGAGCAGCACACTAATTACCAGTTGTCTTCCAATTACTTTTGGAAAACTGATAGGAAGACAACATTTGGTGCTGCAGACGCAGCAGTTAAATGTGCAGTCCACAAAGAGCAAAGGTAAAAGAAGAGTAGTGGCGGTAGAAAATATTTGCATATATTTGTTATCTGGTTGAGACAAGTTCCAAAATATGCCAGCTGTGTCACAATATAATGTGTATTAAATATTGTGTTGCAATGAAGAATGTAAGATGCAGTGCAGAACTTTTCCTTCAAGCTGTTCTAGATAGTAAGCTCAAACGCTGGAAGGAAATTGCTGCTGTTGAACTGAAATCCACTTCTGTATTCATTGTAACCGCTAGCACAGACTAAACCCACTGCTTAACAGCTACATCTGACACTGGCAAGGAATGTTATTAGCATATTTAATTAGTATACCCAACTATTCTAAAACCAGTATCAAAGCTGCTAACTCTACCAAACATCCAATACTTGATTTTACTGTTTTTATCTGTTTTTTCCTCTTTTGTCCTTTTGTTATTTGGACCATTCCCTGTTTCGTTGCGTGTTTCCTCCTTGCTTCTCCACCTGCACCTTTGGTTTTTCTTCATCATTGCATCATCTGTGTTTGTCTCTCCATTGATGCACTGTGTATGCTTGCAGCCCTTGCAGAGTGCTCCCGTTAGAGGGCTAATGCTGTGAAAAATGACAGTAAGCTGGCACTTTCGCTGCCATCGCCACCAGTTTGGGGCCGCCTGCCGCCTCCAGACCTGTTGCCTGGCAACTCCCCAGACAGCATTTCTCCAAAAGGCGAGAACTTCTGTCTGCTGTGCTGCGATACGAGACTAAGCTTAATAAGCATTATATCTCGTTTTGTCTTATCGTTTAGTTGTTAGTGACACAAGTTAGCTGGGAGCTAAAACTATGCAAAGAGCACTGATGCAGAATGTGTCTCAGTTTAGCAAATTAATAAAAGGATTTGCAAAGAGTGAAACGGAAGAGAACATCAATGTTATTCAGCCAGAAGGATGACTGTAGATGATAATTATGTATTTTATTTTGAAGCATTTTGTCTCTACTTGTCAAACAAAAGGTGGGAATGGATATCTCAGTATAACCTTACATGTAAATTGATCAATTGTGTGGATGAAACCAGTGAAACTCAAATTTTGTTTTTTATTGGCAAAATTGGGCCAGCAAAAATGGAGGAGTCAGGCTTAGGAGCAAAAGGAGAGGTTGGCCAAGGGGAACATTTATTTAAATAATAATAATAATTGGCTAATATTTCACATCAGCCAAGGACATTTTTTTTGTAAGTCAATTACGTTATAATATATTTTTAAAAGATTTCACTCAAATTAATTTGTTTAAAGATAGGGTGCATATAACTATTCTCAATTTCGTCTACATTTTAAAATATATATATATTTTCTAACATTTCATACCCCACATATAAAAATTAACATGAAGGACAATAATTTGTAATTTATTACTTCAAATTTTTACTTACTTGTATTTCATGGACAAAATCACCAAACACGAACATGACCTGAACATGCAGGTTCTTATAATTACTTACTGCATCAGATTTTGTTGACTATTTATTTGTTCAGTTCCTTTCCAAACCGGTTGTCTAGCAGAAGTTCAGAAGAAGCTACTTGAAGTGTCATGATGAAAACACAATTCTTGATGTTTCAGATCCCCTTCTCAGCTCTACGCCAACTAATTATCGTTCCTTGTAAGGAAATAAAAAATAGCCCATCTGTGCGTCATCTCCTGCCCCAGATTTCTATGTCTCCACCAACGTGATGGCTTTTCAAGCAGTAACCCATTTTTATCCCAAAAGCTAACAAGAAACCCAAACTCCAGTCACAGCATATTCACAGACATGAGTGACATAAACCAAGCAAGGTTGCTGGGGAACTCTCATCGGGGGTTACAAGAGTGCTTTGACAGAGCCTGTGATCTCACTGCCAGCGATGCAATCCTCAGTGTTTAATATGTTTCTGTTTTGAGACATCAGGGCTTCTTAAGAGGCTGGAAAAAAAGGTATATTATATATCTGAATTGGGATTTGGAAATTAAAGTAAGAAAACAGGATTGTCATATAATATTCTGAATAAATAAAATGAAAAAATTAAGAGTTTCCATTATAGAGAATTTAGCTATGCTCACTGGTTCATGCATGCTTGCATTGCAACGTTTATAAATATTGGATCAGTCAGTTAAATCTTATTTATAGAATATTATTCATAGAGTCAGGTGCAACAGAAAGTAAAGTTTAATCGGTACAGATGCACAGTGAAGTGACATAAATGATCAAGTCAAGTAAACGCATAGAGCCAAAACAAAAATGCGAAAAAAAAAAAAAAATAAAAAAGTTGTTACAGAACAGTATTGTCATAATATAACTACAGCTTTGTTCAATTGAACTTACTATCTATTTCTTAACACTAAATAAAAAATCGATCAGAAGTTGACAAGTGCATTCATAGGTTTGCGGTAACATGGAGACACATCAATGTAGAGGTGAGTATTCAGCATAGTCACATAAATGAATGCCATGAAACCACTCAATGGCGACAGAATAAACTAAACATTCAAACAGCATGCTATTAATATGGATTGAGAATTAAAATACAGGGTTTTGCAACATTCTCTCTTTCTTATGCTCATTTTTTATAAGCTGAGTTTTAGGAAGCACATTGCTGTACTATAAATATTCACACATTTCTATGCATCGACCATCTGCTGAGTTAGTGTACATAAGTCTGAGACCATTTAGAAGAGTAACATGGGATTATTCTCGGTATCATCACATGTGATTTCCAGTTATCATACAGTACTTTGCAAATTAATTTAGGCCATGTGAATATTTCCTTATGTTATTGGAAATGTTATGACCAATAAAAAGTAGCTCATAGTTCAGAAGTCATAATTGTAATTTAACAAATGCATACTAGTAGGTCATATCCGTAAGCGCACAGCCAGTGCTACAATGGAATAGTCGAGACCAAAGCATGTTCAAATGTTAGGACGGCCCAGTCAAAGTCTAAAGCTACGTGGAGTGGAAAATCTATTCCAAGACTAGAAAATTTACACTCAAAAAGGCTTTCTATCCAAACCATCTGAACTTGAGTGTTTGCAAAGAATGGGAGGAATGATGGTGTCTATATTTGTGAAACTAGTACATAAAATATTTGAGCTGGATTTATTGTAAAGGCTTGTTCTAAAATAATGTTTCCGCAGGCGTGAATGAGCTCACCACACCTTCCAAATGTTCTTCAGTAAAGACACATTGATAATTATGAATGATTACCCATTCGCTCTAAAGAATCCCTGTCAAATACATTAAAGTTTATTTTCTAACCCAAAAAAATCAAATGAAAGGGAAGTATAAACCTACATCTTGCATCTAATTTACCCATCCATTCATTTTCACTTATCTTTGGAGATGAGTTTCGTTGCATTGCTTGTAGCAGTAGTCAGTCTGTGTTGCCTATGCTCCAGCATCAGTGGCGTCTGCAACAGGAATTTAAAATGACACCAAGTGACTAAGTATTTCCTGTGTGTGTATCTTTAAAGTTTTCACTTAGTCATCTGGCAAACTTTTTTTTTTTCCACAGAACAAGACACGTCTGTGTGTGCTGCACTCATTTCTTTCCCCCTCCTCTCGTGTTGCCAACAGGCGGACCCAGAAGGCCGGGACATTGCCATCCGTCCTTTCTTGGAGCACTGTGAGAACACCCACATGACCATTTGGCTTGGCATCGTGTATGCCTACAAGGGACTGCTAATGGTGAGAGAACAAAAAAATCTGACAGCATAATCACAATCTGTACACACATGCATACCCGCTTACTCTTTGCGCTATCGTAATTTGCAGATGATTAAAAAACATATATATCTTATTAAAATTATTTTAAAATTTAAATCTTAAAACTGTAATGTGTACCTTTGTTGTGTCAAGAATGTGAAGTTAGAAAAAATTGAATCTTCACTGAATATTTTTTTGGAAAAATTGTAACTTTAAGAGGTTTTTCATAACCTGTATTTATGAAAAATTATAGATTTTTTTTATAACACAATGCTAATATTGGCTCACGCAGGGTTCAAAGTGGACTTTTGAATGGCCTTCTCTGATCACACCAACATGCATCAATGAAAATCCATTGTAGCTTGTATAGCAATCCTCTGCTGCAGCTCCCCTGTCTTTCTCCTCCAAGCAAAGACTTTGCACTCACAACTATCTGTTTTTGTCTTCCTTGTCGTCTCATTCGACAAAGTTAGCTTTTGATTGATCTTTTCTAGCTTTTGGCCATTTTGCAATTTTTACTTTTTCTTACAGCTGTTTGGCTGCTTTCTGGCGTGGGAGACCAGGAACGTGAGCATCCCTGCCCTCAACGACAGCAAATACATCGGAATGAGCGTGTACAACGTTGGCATCATGTGCATCATCGGCGCGGCGGTGTCGTTTCTGACCAGGGATCAGCCGAACGTCCAGTTCTGCATCGTAGCTCTCGTCATCATCTTTTGTAGCACCATCACTCTCTGTCTTGTCTTCGTTCCTAAGGTTAGTTTTTAAACACAACAGGCATTGGCTGGTATAAGATTATTCAATTCATTTAATTATTATGTTTTTTAATCAATTCTATCTAATCAAAGAGATTGAAAGTCAATTACCTACATTTGAAATTGTTATCAAGCTCACGTAATTATTCAGATTGTCTTTTTTATTAATTCTATTTAAGAAAACCAGCAGATTTCATTGCAGCAAAGGGACAGTCACTTGTGGTGTGGCGTTGCAGCAATGCCTTTACTGGGCATGAATATTTATTATGGTAGTAGAATTTTGAGTAAAAATATGGCAAACAAAAATAAAGCAACAAACTTTCTAACATCTAATTTGTTTTAATAGAAGGCAATAATTATTTCTGCAGCTGCTGAAATGTGAAACTATTTGCTTTTATAGGACATCAAGAGTATCTCAAATAGTAGATCATTTTGAAAAATGTTGATGCATTTTAACATTCGCTGAATTTAAAACCAGCAGGCTGCACAGATATAATTTTTGTGTGAAATATTATCACACTTTGTCATTCTGCTCTTTATCGAGTAAAAAGTAGGTGTATTAAAAGCTGGCATTCACTGGCTTATTCAGGGAAGCTGCTTGAGTAGCCAGCTGGCTGTCTGCTGCCTGACATTAATGATGCTCTTATTTTCCCAACTGCAGTTTCAGAAGGGCCTTATCTTACAGTGATGAGTAGGACTTTTACCAAGCAGCGACTTCTCAAGCAGCCAGCATTGTGTTTCTTGTAAGCAAGAAAAATGTGTGGAGATGACAGTTATGGACATTGTGCAGAGACAGGTGAGAGGGAGGGAGAAGCATAGATCGAATCTGCTTCATACAGATTAAGAAAACTTAGTTCCAGGTATTCTCTAGCTTCTTATAAAATCTACTTTGAACAGTGGAAAATATATGGTGGGAAATGTTTTGTAACAATAACTTTTTGAGACCACTTAACACCTGGACACTCAGGGATTCACTATGTTGCTCGAATGGAGAAGTGAAACTATTTTTAGTATCTTGTCCACAAATGATGATGGTGAGGAGCAAGAGATGAATTGAATGAATTGGTGCCTTGTCTGCAGTAATGTGGGTTGTGCACCAGTTGCTTTTGGTGAACAAACAGCCAAGTCAAAAAGCAGTGCACTCAAATGTTTGCTTTACATAGGGCTTTATTCTAAACCTCACCTATATGGCCAGGAGATTTGGATCGTTAGGGAGACATTGAGACCCTGCATACAAGCAGTTGAAATGAGCATCAGTTTGGCTTGGCTCATCGTTAAGACGCTCTTGACATACCTCTCCATTTCTGTTTGCCTGAGCCACAAGCCTGCACTCTTATTTATGTTATTTTAAACTCGGCTAAACAGCACTGTACCACTCAGAGACGTACCGCTTTCACTACAATCTCTTACGGGATGATAATGTCTTGCTGTGTTTAGCAGAGGAGAAGGAACAAACTAAAAAACTCTCATATTTTTTATAGAAACCTTTTTGCGCTCAATCTGACCCATCATTTTCATTATGTGTTGTGTTTTATTTGAGTATCGTTAGCCATCAGACAAGGGGGGAAGGTACTTTGTCACCACTAACCAGTCAATGACTTCTCATCTCCAAATTCCCTGACTCACTTCCCATATTCCTGGCCCCTCAAATGCTCCATTAACATTGTTGTGTAACATCAGCCTGAGTACAACAGTGACTAACATCCCATGACCCTTCCAACAGCTGATCACCATGAGAACAAACCCAGATGCAGCCACACAGAACCGGCGGCTAAAGTTCACCCAAAATCAGAAGAAGGAAGATTCCAAGACCTCCACCTCGGTCACCAGCGTGAACCAGACCAACACTTCCCGACTGGACGGGCTGCAAACTGACAACCACCGCCTCCGCATGAGGATAACCGAGGTCTGAGCAAAATGGATTCCTGTTTAAAGCTCCTCTTAACAAGTGATAATGGTAGGAGACAGGGGGCACAGTTAGAGAAGCTTTTAATGCAGTTATGGAAGAAAAAAGAAAAGACATCTTAAAGGTAATGTAATCACAGGTACAATCATTTCGCTTGAAGATTGAAAAGAGAAGAAAAAAACAGCCAAGCATTTATCTCCAGAAAATCTGACATAATAGCTCTCCCGCATTTAGTTATTTTTCAGACTTCTTTATTCACTTTATTACCTCTTAAAATGGATAATTGTTAATACCTACTCTGGTCACTATGAGATTGCCACAATTTTCTATGTGCCCTCTTTTTATATGAGGATATATGTTCTTTCTTACAGTTCAGTAATTCAGGGTTGAATTTCAGCTCCTTCCCCCTTTTTATCTTCGCTTTGAATGACACAAACTAAGAAGACACGGATGTTTATAATGGGTTCAGCTATAAGGAGCTGCAGTCTTTATTATGGACTCAGTGCTGGTTCAAAAATGCAGAACTTCCAGGCAGTCAGCACAGATGTCCGAGTTTACTGAGAGACAGGGTAATTTAGAGTGAGAGCGCAAGAGCTGAAACAGGAGGTGAGAGCTCCGAGCAGAGAGCGCGATCTGTGGTAGGCAGAGAAGTACCAGGAATTTGTTGCATGGAATTGGTTTTGTGTCTGAAACCCGGGTTGAAAATGAATTCTTTCGCATATTTTTACATTAACACCAACTTGACGTGTCTTAAATTGATTTTTTGTGGTAGTCCAACTGGACACTTTGTTCTCAGAATGCTTTCCAAAAAAAAATCTGAAAAGTGTGGCATGCATATACACCTTTTGAATGAAATGGCCTATTCTTAGGCGCATTAGAGTAAAATAGGGTGAATATCTTTGCAGACCACAGCTTTCTGACATCTATTTGAAAATAAATGTTGACAACTTTATTAAACTTTATTGTCTCATAAAATCCATATAATAGAAATACATGGCTGTAGTACGACAAAATGTAAAAAAGAAAAATCCATAGATGTACGAATAGCTTTGTAAAGCACTACAGCAACTATGAGCAAGAGCTGAGCTGGCTCATGCAGTGTTGCATCGCAGCAGTGAGTTGAGACTGCAGGGCAGTTCAGATCGCCAGGGCGATTAGGGTGAGCAGGTGAGGCCGGGGTCCAGCATACAGGGACAGCATCTCTAATCAGATGGGACATGGATGGGGAAAGAGAGAGCTCTGGCTGCAGGCCATGAGTGGGTTTTAAATTTTGCTTGAAATCGCAGAGCAGCAACTGCAGCACTTTCACATGGATCATATAATGTTGCCTACTCCAGCTACCTTATCTGTGAATGTTTTTTGTTTTGTTTTGTTTTGTTTTTTTCCACAAATGTGTGTGCTAATCCATTTAACAACAAGGAATAGCAGGACCTAATGCTATTTAAATGTCTTTTCTGTGTGAAAAGTTGGATAAGGAGCTGGAGGAAGTGACCATGCAGCTGCAGGACACCCCAGAGAAAACTCCTTACATCAAACAGAACCATTACCCAGACGCCAATAACATCCTCAGCATACGCAACTTTACAGACGGCAAAGGTGAGAAGCTGACTATGTGTTTCAGTTAGTGTTTTTTCTGAAGTGACTCTTTAACCTAATTCTGAAAATGTGCTTATAAATGCCTGTCTTTGTTGTTTCACTTCAGAAAAACACGTTTATAAATGAATGAAAGCTTGAAAATATCGTTTAAAAAATTAGTTCTTAGTCGTTTGACAATTATGAAATATCCAGATAAACTGAGATGTGAGTGATGATGCAATACCGCTACTATTAAAATGTTTTGTTTTATAGATTTCAGAAGTAATTTTGGCCTAGAGTTTATAATGGTAAGGAGGTATTTACGTTTTTATTTTAGTCTTTGGCAAATGGCCTGTGCAGTCAGTCAAAATGGTTCCTCCATGACAGGTAAAGGACAAATGGGAGCAACTGCCTAGAATCACCTTGTTAAGTGTTCTCACCACCTGACAAGCATGACAGCTGTGACAGTATGAAACCGCATCTTCAATTTAATTTCTTCCTGTGTTCCTACAATTAAAGACGAACACATCTTTATCTGCGATACAAACAAAAGTGGATGACTGTTTTGGCTGACAAATTCCAGCAAATGGGAGAATACAGGTTAGGAAAACAGAAGCGATTAGGGCGCGGTGTAAGTGACTCATCAGTACTTGTTGAGTGCAGTCCCTGTGTCTCTATGTCTCCTTCTTCTTCTCCACTGCACAGGTTGTTTAAATAGCTACATCTCAGACATTATAAAATCTGCTGCCTTAAATTGAATCAGTGAATCATTGGTTCTGCAGCTTCGCCTTGCATTAGGCACCGATTTAACAGACACAGAATGATGGAGATGGAGATGCACCACAGCCAGATTCGGCTTGCCTGATGCACACACCAGCACAAAGTTGCTCTCAGGGGCATTTAATGGATCTGTCTGAGTTAGGTAAGGCAAAGAGTGAGACAGCTGTGCTCGCTCTGTGGACGGGGAGCGGAGAGTGTTGAAATTCTGTGAGATTCCTCATCTACGAAGGCGCCTTCACACTTTAACAGAGCTAATCTCTATGTGTCACATGACATGGTTGTTATTTGTTTATTTATTGTATTTGAGCCAAGAAAATAATACATTTGAATGAAGTCTGTTTGTGGTCCGGTTGTGCTGTGGCAGTGAAGCAACGTTTCTCGTGTACATAGGGTGAGAAAGATGCGGCAGGCTTGTCCTAATTAGTAGGTAATTAATGCATGAGCTACCATCTGGGACAATTTTGACCTCCAGTTTGTTTTTCATTAACAAAAAATACTCGACGACCAAAACACTGCAACTAAATTTGGTTTGCTATTAGGTAAGGTACTTTTTTTCTGTGGTTTATTATTGAAACGAGATATTCAGCATAAATTGTTTTTTGTCTAACAATTATGATTAACACAAACGTTCTATCCAATCTTCCACAAATTATTATTATTATTATGTTAAGTCAAACTGTAATTGCATGTGCTCATTAAGATGGATGGCTCTATCTAATGTCAGAATATTCACAGGAAGCCTGTGTTTTGATGGTGGATTTATTTATTTATTCATTTCTGCATACAAATACAAATACAAATAATAAAGATTCAAAGCATCGCTGAACAAAGTTATAATATATAAATGTGTTTTTTTTTTATGTTTGTGCTGGGGAAAAAATTGTTAGAACATATTTTCATTTTTTATGCAGTCAAAACTTTGTGGGAAAATAGATTTAATTGCCAACACAATATTGGCAACCCTTATTGTAAATTATAATTTTAATGAGTTGTATGCAATTACCAACATGCCGCATAAACACACTTTGAACCCATTCTGCATAAGCTCGGCTTTTTAGCCACTTTTCCCGTGATTTCCTTTAAAGCAGAAATGCTCATAAGTCTCGATCGTGATCTTACAAGAAATGAGATGCATAATGAGATGCAAAGAAAAGCTGAATGTGAGGTGCTGCTCACAGTCATTCTGATACACAGTCTGCAGGCATGATCCCAGTTCCTGTGGCTCTTTTTGAAAGATCTCCAGCAGAACAGCTTTTCCCTGCCTTGGTTAGTTTCCGCATCATCACTGTCTCCAAGCTATTGTCTTCAGGATTCATGATAGATTTGCTCTAAATATATTGGGGACCAGTGATTGAATTTAAGAGAAGGATGCTGTGTCAACATTCATTACACTCATTCACAGAAGGTTAGAGGCAAAGCTACAGTTCACCTGCCTCCATTTGACTGCCTTACTGATCAGATTCAAGCAAACGATAAAGCTGGTTTAGTCTAGTTGAGGTGGTCTGTAAAACAGCCTTGTTAATTGTTTGGAAATCTTTAAATCATCACCATGATTAAAATTTGGCTACTTTTGAAGTCAAGGTACATGTGAAAGTTGACAAAGTAGCTTATTTTTCTGCATGCAAGTTCCATGAAGCTCGCAAAGATGTTACTGGTTAAGTCCAAGACAAAAGACACAGAGCTACAAATGCAACGAATGTAAATTATGTCATTTTATTTTAAAACTTTTAGCATATTGTTTCAGCAAAACAGTTGGTACAAATGCTGGCTATAGGAAACCTGCGGCTTTAAAACTACTTTTGATGAGATATTTGCAAAAATATCAAAACTGTCTACCAGTGTAAAATCAATCTGAACACTGTTTTATGAGATTCTTTATGTTCTGTCAATGAGGTATGTGAGAAGCCCATCATGACTCAGAGAACAATCAAAAATATCTGTGGCAGGTTTGATTTATACGGTTAAAGCCTATTACAAGCTGCAATAAACCATAAGTGTATAAGGATATGTTTAAATGTGATAGTCACAATCGTTTATATATGCAGGTTTCCATAAACTCATCATGGCCTTGAATGTCATATTATTTGTAGGCAAAGATTTGTTGCATCTATAAAAAATAATAATAATAATCACACAGAACTGTGGAAATATACAGGTCAGCACTTTATCCTCGCAACTCTTAACATAAATTTTCAAGGATATTTCTTTTCATAAAGTAAACTGCTCTGAAATAGTTCAGTACGCCCAGATGTCCAATGGGGGAGGAGGGTGCTGACATAAGTGAATCAGGTCAACAAGTTCTGAAAAGAAATCTGGGACGTGTGGGGCAAAAAGGAGCACTCCAGTTCTAGCTCGGCGTTATTAACGATTCTAAATTTGGGGTTCGATGCTGATCTTTGCCTGTGATTACGACGCATAAAATGTTTAAGGCTTACTTCAAAAACTCTGGAAGTCTAAAAGAATATACGAGAAATATTCCACATTAGCAGAAGCTCAATAGCAACATGTAGCGAAAAAAGGAAACATAACATTATGGAAAAAGTGTATGTCACAGTGACATCGTCAAATGAAAAGGATTTTCATTATGAGCCAAGGTAGCTGGAAAATCAGAGGCATGCTTCACGTATCATTGAGATACGACCCGCTTGACAGATTAACAATTTTTCCCAAAATGTTTACACATGTTTCAATGCAGATGGAGAGAAATCGATACTGAAAAACCACCTGGAGCAAAAACCGCAGGCGCAGTGGGGCTCCATGGATCCTTCCAGAATAAGCAGAGGTCCCCTGGAGGATATCAACTCACCTGAACAGTGAGAGCTCATATTTCCATAGCACATCCATGTCTGTGCTCCTCCCTGCCTCCCCTCCTTCCCACTGTTTAGTGAGCTTTCTCAGCAGATGACACATCACATGTAGCGCAACCACTAGAAACTCTCAGGCAGTTGCTCCGGCAACAGAGCCCATTGAGCACACGGACCAGCCCTGCACTTTCCCTCCCACTTCCATTAAAAGACGTGAACACGTGTGCTCTCCTAGAGTGCAAAACATACGATAATTCTCATGCGAAACCCCCCGACACGCGCACATGGAGACATGCACATGATTGATTCGTCGCCCCAACTTGAAAACAGCTGATCTCTCGGACATTTAAGACGCGCACGAAACCAGCGCCCATCCATGTTCACCTATAATTCATAAGGCGGCAAAGCTGAGGCATGACGACTTCATCAGTGAGGAGGGTACGGCATTTCATGCATCATTGAGAATTCTGCCTCCCACGCTGGTTTTAACAAGAACACGAGAAGAACGCCAGATTGACGGCGAGAAAGAAGACAGCAGACAAAAAGGGCATAAAATTAAGAAGAGCCCAGAAGAGGGAAAAGACGAACTTAAAGAAGAAAGCTGTTTAGACAGACAAGAGAGGAGGCAGAGACTCGCATGGGCTTATATAACAACTGATTTACAGTTTGCATTGGAAGCAGCTCTGAAAATAGACAGGGAGGAGAACAGAAGTAAAGGAGCACTCGGAGCTATTCCCTTGCCACATAAATGTTTGATCACACCGAGGGAAGAGAGATGAAGAGGTGGCAAGAGAGAAGGTGAAGAGGAAGAGAAGACAAATACACAGAAGTTTGAAAAGAGTTATAAATAGACAATCTAGCACAGACTGAATACTTTGTGACATAATAAACACAAAAAAATAAAAATTCATAAAGCATATTTCATAATTTAATGCACCATATTTCAAGGGAAAGTTTATGTCTAAGCACAATTATAAAAGCGGTCATGATCAGGCATAGCTCTGCAAATTACAACGACTTTAAATTTCCACTAATTGTGACATTTTTCTGGGTCTTCTGCTGAACAAGCCTGAATTTCATTACCCCCTGCTAATTTTTGACTTTACATAACAAGTCTTTGGTTATGTAATATCTTTGCCAACGACTGGAAGTGATTCTGGTGAGGTGGGGTGCGAAGTGTCACACTGGGTTGAAGCATGAAATGTTCTTTTAGTCAGATGATCCCAAAAGCTGGAGGAATGGGGTCTTAAGGGCTTACTAAGAATGGAAGTAAAGCTGGGGAAAATGGCTGCTCATTGCTCTGCGGTAAACAAACCGAGGAATAGTGAGAACCTGTAGTAATCTAACTCACTCACTCAGGCTGTGCTGGTCTGATCTCATTCAGATTTTTCATTGTTTGGATGTTTATATCTTATATTTAGGTGTAATTGAATATTTTATGTAGCAGCTAGGAGCAAATATATAATATACTGTACATTGCAGGAGAATTGACCATTATAAAATTTTACAGGATCATCAAAGCACATATTTATATTTATATATTTATATATCTTTAGAAATAAAAAAGGCGGTTTGTCCAGTTCACAAATAACCAATGATTAAAACCTCACACTTCCCAAGACCTCCTACATCTTTATTGGGGTAACAACTCTATTTATCCACTGTTACAAATATTCTTATATAAAATATTGACTGTATTTAACTTATTGTGATTTTAAATATCTACTATCCAAATGTCACAAGATGTTTTAGATACTTATGATGCCATTATTACAAGTGTTTAGAATTCTACAATCTGATTGTTACAGGTAATTGTAGACATCTACAATCTATTCTTGAAAGTAATTTCAGATAGTTGGTATAGTCAAATGTTTTTTTAGCTATATAGTGAATTCCCATCATCTGAAATGTCACCTATGGCTAGTAAGGAAAGTCGTATTTGAAAAGGTCTTCTTTGAACAAGGAGGGGTAAATTGTAAATATCTGCATTTCATGTCTAGTCTAACCTTTATGGTAAAACAGCAACGTTTCAATTTTCGAGAATCTCGACAAAAATTATATATTTCCATTTCTCAAATACATAGTTTTTAGGATATTTGCATATCAATGATTTATGGCTGACATGTTTATCCAAGAAAAATGTTGTTTTTGATATCTTACAAAGTTACAAAACAAGTTGTAGGAGTTTGTTTTTGATAAATGTTTCTTCCAGTAGCTTCCCAGACATTTAATCGTCTTTCTTTGCTTTTGTGATACAATGCAGCTAATCGGTTGTCGTTTTGATATACATCGGCTCTTTCGACATAAATTCAAATTAAATACACAGTTTAATAGTCCCTGCTGTGTTTTTCAATGTTTCATATCAGATAGAAGCAAACTCAGAGTGTAGTTACAAACAGTAAGAAGTCTAGTTTTAGTTCTAATTTCAAAATGATTTTGTTTCATAGTTAATTGTCTTAGTTGAAATAATTATTAAGGGAGAGTGTAAAGTATTCTTATGAGCTCAGGTCGTGCACCCACCTGTGTTTCTCTTTGCTTTGTGATGTAATATCAAATCTATGCTCAGCAATCATGCGTGGGCCCAAATATGTGAAAGCAGCCCATGAAGCTTATAAACCAACACCTAAATGATCAAAAAGTATCATTGCTCAGGCTTTACAAGACTGAGCACAAATCAAAGCAACACAACTGACCAAGGCAACAGGACCGTCATTATACATTTGGCAGCAGGAAAAGTATTTGTCACTTATTGCACCATCTACCCTTTTTCAAAAGCTGGTCACAAAATGTACAAATTTGAAACATTTTTCATAGATAATACAAAATTGAGAGATTATGTGTTCAGGATATGAAATATTTTTGCCATTTTCTGCTTTAACTGACATATGTCGAGTCTACATAAAATATTTGCTTGGTTTCGGTGAGAATATATATTTGCACAAGTCTTAAAGCAGCTAAACGCTAAAAAAATAATCTAGTAATTCAGGTTAGTGGTACAGGTGCAGACAAGGTGCACATGTAAAATGATGTTTAACATGTATACTTCATGTATATTTTCTGATATTATCCCTCTCACCTTCCTTGCAGCATACAGCGTCGACTGTCCTTGCAGCTGCCTATCCTGCACCACGCATACCTACCTTCCATAGGAGGGGTTGACGCCAGTTGCACCAGTCCAAATGGAAGCCCGGGCTCCAGTCCGAGGCACAGACACATGCCCCCTTCCTACAGGGTAATGGTCTCTGGGCTGTGAGCTTCATTCACTCCCCCACTTCGCTCTTTGTTGAGGAGACACAAATGGTTCTTTTTTTCTACAACAAATAGACTGATATTGTCAGCGTGTGTGCGTATTCCGTCTTGGACTGAAAAGAAGATGGGGTTGAACAAAGAGAGGGGGGGAGGGATAAAGTTTTACTCGTCATACCTCTGCACTCGGGTCTCTTGAGGACTGACGCCGTCAGTCAAAACTGGGTGGGGGAGGACGGTTGATGCTTAACTACTACATCCTCTCTTCTTAGGTCTGCTCACACACATGCACAGTCAGACACCGATATCTACAACAGAGATACACACCAATATCCAAGCACAGTGACACCCCAGCAGCAGCGGTGGACCAGCCCTAATCTGACGTGTAGCCTTATCTGCTTCAAAAGGGATTGTTTCCGTTTCTTATCTGTTTTATGTGCTATATGTGCTTGCAGCTACATGTGAGCCACACCAACTTAAACATTTCACTGCTTCGGTGACTGGATACGAGTTTGGGAGCAACGAGAGGAATTGTCGAGATCCAACTAAAGAGAGCGTTAAAGGAAGCACCCCTGTCCACTTCTCAACGTTGTGCAGAAATGTAAATATCATCGCTTTTGACACTGATGTACTGTAAGCTTTGTAAATGCTGTGAATGGACAAATTTATAGGATTTAAGTGTGGTGCTTGTAACAAAGGCAGATGACGGCTTATGAAATATAACATCCTACGAATCAGATATTTGACAGAGGCATAAATCTGTAAGCATAGCTGTTAATATATTAGCTTACAAACAGCATAGATGCATCAAAATTTGTCCAGGTCCCAGGCCTCTAACTCGGAGTGAGCTGCACGTTGCTCTTTACTTTGTTCCACTTTGCTATTTTTTCTAAACTCGTTCATGTCAAAGACCTCCTGTCTGACTTTGTAAAGGCCTTCATACTTTACAATTTAATCAGTCCGTCTGGAGTCAGACAGCATGTTTTATAGAAACAATAATGCTATGCCTTTTTCACAGGTTTGAGAAAATAGAGCAAAAAGAGATCAAAGGAGTGTTTCACAGCTTTCTTTCTTTCTTTTTTTTGTTAACATGTCAAGAAATTCAAATACACAGATGTGCACGTAAAAGAAAAAAAAAAAACCCAAGAGAGCATCCAGTGAATCCAGGTGCTGTTGGCGCTTAGTGATGGGTGGGGTCACACTGAAGCTTGCAGACTGGTTTTTATAGACTGTTAAGTTGTCTATCTGAACTTGTTCTCATGTCTTACCAGCACAGTTTTTAGAGCAACGGGGTGCAGCAATAGCACAAAATTACAAGACTTTTGAGGTGAAACTTTGCGATGAGGGATAAAACGAAAACAGGCGATGTTGGAGAAAATGTAGGTCTACCAGGTCCACGGCTTGATTGGACTAAAACGGTTGACCTGAATTTCCACGCACAGCAGCAACGACAGTCGGCGCGTTGAAGTCTCGCGTAATAAGCCCCACACCTGTCTGCAGCGTTGGTTTCTAAGTCGGCGATGCCACCTCTGCTGGTCACGGTGATTTAGCACAGACATAGGGCTTTCTCTCACAGATGATACAGAGTACCAGGATAGATCAACCCACACTTGGCAACAGTGAACATACCTCAGTTGCTACAGAAATGTATATCAGTGCCGCTGAGCTTCACCCAAGACCATCATAAAGAGAATCGCTGTTCTTCGTTAATTTTTTTTTTTTCCTAATGCGGGAGAAAAAGTCAAAGGAGGACTCTGCAGGAAAAATACTTTTTTTTACCCAGAGCGGCAAGGTTCGTTCTCAGCATATTGTTTCACCATTGGTGTCTTGGTTTTTATTTTTTTTAAGGCGTTTCTTGAGCGCCGTGCCTGTTGTCTTATATTGTAGCCTGCGAGACCCACACTACATACGAAAGGGTCGAAACTGCGCTTACCCAGCAAAGTACATCGGCCACACATCTGTAAATCGAACAATGTGTCACAGACTAATCTAAAGTCCATGTGTCCAAGACCGGGGACAGCTTTGGGAGTACATGGCGAAAGCTCCACTCCAGCCGGAGGATATTTCTCCATAAATACAGTCAAACTTCTCAGAAAAGTTGGGGAGGATTCAGAGCTGAAGTCGGGGAGACGAGGATCTTTTGTCAGACATATTGAGGTTTGAGCTCCTCCCGTTTCCAGGCCCCTGCTATGATGCACAGGAGCAGGAGGGGGGAAAAAAACAACCCAAGCACAGACCTCAAAAAGGAGTCATGACTTCTCCTGCATCTTTGCCAACCAGAGAATCACAGTCACAGAACATGTGAGTGGGAGACATTTCCAGAGGGTTGGATCTTCCTTCAGGAGAAGCAAAAAAACTAACCGCACATTTTATATATTACATTATACGTGATTGTGTACAACTTTGCTGATACCCTGATGATGGTGTCCATGTATGGAGTATTTGGTATTTGGCTTTCTCAAGATGGCATGAAATAAAATGTATAATTCACAGAGTTACCTCTGTTTTTTTGTTTTGTTTTTGTTTTGTTTTTGCAACTGTTGTGACAAAGCTATGCTGTTGCTTCCTCACATCACCTGTAATTTGATTTTATCATGAAAGGATCCACACCCCTGTTCAAAAGTAATATATTTCTGATCTAAAACAGACCCTGATACGTCTTTACCACCTTTAACCTGACATATAACTTGTACCATTCAACCAAACAACCAATTTGTTAGGGTGGAACGAGTGCAATAACGTGTTTAGATTCAATTTTAGCATGCAGCGCTCTGAGGGAGTTAATAAAAATGCTGCATTTAGGTGTAACCACATTTACTCCCTCTACCTTGTGGGTAGAAGTAAAAATCTTCTATACTGAAGTCATTCTATTGTTGATATAAATGTATGATTAGACTCACTGTGGTGTTGGAAAATTACAACCTCTCTTCATCTTCAGCTTTCCAGAAGACATTTGAAATGCTTGGGTCAGAATGGGACTGGAGTTTGGAAAAAAAAAACAGCGCAGCTGAAGAGAAGAAACCCCCAGAGCATTATGCAGCCACCACTATGTTTCAGTGTGGGTGTTGTTTTGGTGACATGCTGTACTGTTTTTGTGCCAAATCACCTTTTAGTTCTTGTTTAGTTTTATTTCATAAATAATAATAATAATAATAATAATAATAATTAATAATAATAAATGAAAAAAGTGTCCTACCAGGGTTTGTATTATTTAATCCAGACCTGGATGTTTTTTGTTTTTTTTTAGGAGAAAACACTTCTGATTAGTAATCTTATTTATTCAGACATTTTGGGGAATACAGATTGTCACACGTATAATTCAACAAGCACTTAGAAACTTGCGCAGCTTATCTACTGGAGTCACATATGGGTCCATCATTTACATTTTTTTACCATTTGCCCTGAAATATTATATGAGTTAATATTGTACAGAACTTATGCCAAATTAAAGGTGGAATTTGTTTTTAAGAGTATCAAAAAGAATATTTTATGTCCCCAAAAATCAGATTTTCAACAGGGGTGTTCACACTTTTTAAATCCACTGTAGTTCCTTACAAGCGTTCCTTTATTTTTATTTATTTATCTTTTGTTTACCTCTTGATCAGTTCGCACATGTCAAAGCCAAGATGCTCAGTGGACTAACTAAATATCATCTCATCTAACATGCTACTGATTTAGCACCTGTTCACTGAGGGCAATAAAATGAAGGTAGCAGCTATCGAACAAACCTACTATAATCTGCTTGTGTGATTTAAAACGATTATGAAATCATTTTATCTGATCAGTCCAAAATATCAAATGCAGATCATCAGGTGTGTTTTTCTTTTTTTTTATGTGCCCTACTTTTATTCTAATACGATTTATTTCAGTTGTTCTCATAAATGAATAAATTTTACAAATGCAATTGTGGTGGGTCAAGGGCTCATAAGTAACCTGTAATAAATAGCTTCATGCTGATGGTTTGTATTTGCCACAGGTCTTTTTACCTTCTCAGTTTGAAGATCAACGTGACATACCTGAGGACATCTTTGTATGTTTCGTCGTCAGGTTGACTGGAGAAAAACAACACAAACTAAGCTATGTTATACCAACAAAGAATATATATATTACGTGGCGACACACAAAGGTCCATGCTGTTACTGTTTTGTCAGTTTTGATATGTGGTACCACATATGGTATTCTGTTCAATTAAAACTTTAAAATGGTGAACAAAAACCTATGTTAAATACAACATGTTCAAGAGGGGCAATAATTTGTTTTCTTATTACGGAAAGAATAGAGAACTATATATATAAATATATATATGTATATGTAAAGATCTTTACGTACATTCTCATTTTTACATAGGAAACATTTCACAAATCTGAAGTCTTCTTTTTATTTACAGTATCTGTAACTATGTTATGTACAGATGAGGTCTAGATATGAAAATCTTGTATAAAATGAGTATCACACTTGGAACACCTGAACATTTTTTGAGCCATTGGTTGTTATTTGGGGAGGGAAAGAGGGATGAGGAGGGCAGGGCGATGGGGATATTTGAAAAACATTCTTCTTTTGTTGTCTGAATGTTATGGGCAGCCTTTACTTTTCACATCATCGTTAAATAAAGTGTGACTGAAAATAATGCAGCGTTTCTTTTATCTTCCTGTGCTGTGTCTAGAAATCTACAATGATTTTAGGCTTTGTTTATTTCAAGAGGGCATGGTCATCAATATCCAAACGTAAAGATAGAAACAGCCACATAAATAAAGTAAACTTGACTATTGAAATATATTTTCATTACAAGAAATTGTATGTATGGTCATACGGTCTAGTTCCAGTCTGATATTAAAACGGCCGCATGGAAAATCATCCCTCAAGATAACATTTTCTTATATTTACATGTTTCGTTGGTGATATGAAGATACATTGTTCAGCAAAACGCTTGGCTTTTCAAAATTTTGAAAAGCATCAAACAATAAGCTTCTCTTCCTGCATGCATGTAGAATAAACCATTAACACATGATGTTTTTCGTGTCGATTACTAAAATCAAATATTCAAATTTAACATATTTTAAATTTCTTTTGCAATAATTAAAAATTGGATTTGAAATAAATATTTCCTAAAACAAATAAAACATTTTTAATGGGTTGTAATTCCCCCTACCCTCTGGAGGACTTCATATTATCTGTTAAGTGAACACAAGACTGTTCACTGGGATTTATGACTGCTAAATATTAAATCTAAATATTAAAGGCAGTAAATAAAAATACAGGCAATTGAGGCGATAAAATGAGATCCCCATTCAACATTAAAGCTCTTAATCTGCACAACAAACAAAAGACAGCGAGAGGGATGCCTGCTGACGTCAGAAAGACAGGGAGAGGGAATAATACATTGGGAATGAAACTCTTGGAAAATTATGCTTGATGAATTATTAAAGTACATGAGGGGAGCCAGTCGGTGCAGAGAATGAATGGCAGCAACTTGTCTACATTTTGATTACACTATGCTTTTAGGCTTTGAATGAAGAGAAGGTATTGATAAATAATCAATCTGGTGATTTTAAAAACAGTCATAATATGGATACAAATGATACATGTTACTTTTCTCTCTATGCATGCTTTTGGACTTTCCTAAAAATATTAGCTTTTTCTATTCAGAAAGGTGGAGTTTTAATTGTTGCATTTGCTAAATATGTTTTTAATCTGACCTCAAAAAAGTCAAATGTACTATTTTGTCACATTATCATGAAGCCCTATATGAGGCCCCCTAAAAAGCCACATTTATAAAGCATGTTTCTCCTTTATAGATTAAGTGGAATAAGCAAATGAAGTAAAGATACACATGCTGAAACATTTCAAGTTTGTAGCATAACAAAAATGTGAAAAACCTCCAGAGGTATTCATAGTTTTGCAAGGCTGTGTAAATTTGTGCATGCATCTCCCCTCTGCCACTAAATATAAGATTAGGACCAAAGGCCTGTTTTCTTCCGAACCAAAGCTAAGCTAAAAGGGAGCACAGACTGCACACACACTTACACAGATTAGACAAACCAACAATAAAAGGCAAACTGCTTCCTCTTTAAAACATCTTCCTGCCATGCTGGCTTTGTTTGTCTAACAAAAGCATGAAATTACATTTCAATAGTGTAAAAACGGTGCTCTTATTTCCCATTATGATCTCAGACTATAACCCTGAGAGAGCTACGGCTGACTCAGAGGTATAATAACATAATCATCTCAAATATTTTCTCATTTACTTCTTTTCTAAAGCAGGACTCGAGAGGTCTGAGCAACCTTTGTCAGTGGCTTTATTTGCTGTTCCACTGGTCCCTATTTTTATGATTAATCTCTAACTTTTAAAGGCACCACGTCATAGTAAACTATTTTCACCCTAAAGGTGCTCAATGGCTGCCTGAAAAAAAAAAAAAAAATATATATATATATATATATATATATATATATATATATATATATATATATACACCGAAATTTTCGGACTATAAGCCGCGACTTTTTTCCCATTTTTTCGACCCTGCGGCTTATATAACAGTGCGACTTATCTATGGATTTTTACAGCTAACGGCCACTAGGGGGATACCTAAATCCATGGATTTTACCATCCACCATGTTGACGTCACATTTGCTTCAACACACAAGTAGCTGCGCACACGGGACGCGGAGGTCCTCCGGAAGCAGACTTCTACTGCCAGTGGTACGAGACAGAAGGACAGCGAGAGAAAGACGGACATTGCAAGCGCAAGACAGTTTGTGAGACACCCTCATTATGGAAAACAAACGTAGAAATGCATATGATGCAGCTTTTAAGTTAAAGGCAGTCAATTTGGCAGTAAACGAAGGAAATAGAACCGCTGCATGTAACTTTGGAATCAACGAGTCAATGGTGAGACGTTGGAGACGCCAGCAGGAAAAATAAATAAATCGTTCACCAAAACGGGTCCATGAGAAAAGCTACCGTTGCACAAGTTTGCGAGTGGATCCTGATGGCGTGGAGGAGTGTAAAAAAAAATCCACAATCACCAACGGGTTCAGAAAGGCTGGACTGCTGCGTGATTGAGAGGAGGACGCCGCCACACCTGAGGCCTTTCAGAGGCTGTTCGATTCCGACAGTGACGAAGAGGAGTTCGTTGGTTTGAGAGCGACATTGAAAGAGAGGGGAGAGTGGCTGACGAAGCCCTGAACCTGTTTGTTTCCGACACTGAAGATGAGGACTTTTGTGGTTTTAGTATGGAGGAAGAAGACAAAGATGAGGATTAATGACTTGACTTTTCTGGTTACAGCCATGTACTTCACCAAAGATGAAGAGGAGGGTTACGGTAATAACTTTTCTGGTAGACTGATAACCGTATATTTTAAGCAACAGTGTTACTGCAATTTAGACTTACTGTTGTGTCACAGGCACTTTATTTGTTGTTGTAGCTTTATATGTTCTGTACCTTCTGTAGCTACTATTGCACTAAATGGTTGAAAACGTTATGCAAATATGCAACTTGTTTGTTCAAATGTTTATAAATAGGAGCTACTATTGCACTAAATTGTAACAGTTAACGTATGCAAATATGCAACTTGTGTTGAAATGATAATAAATAGGAGCTGACCCAAACAGTTGCCTCTTTCCCAACAATCCCCTCTGTACACGAACCATATGGTAATTACGTAAACATAAAAAACCTGCGGCTTATAGTCCGGTGCGGCTTGTATATGTACAAATCATGCAATTTAGCTTCTGCGGCTTATATTCAGGTGCGGCTAATAGTCCGGAAAGTACGGTATATATGTGTATATATATGTGTATATATATATATATATATATATATATATATATATATATATATATATATATATATATATATATATATGTACACAATGTCTATCAGTTTGCAAGCCAGAGTAAAGACCTCATAACACAAAAATTACAATGAAAAGCAAGAACACTGTTCCATTTTAAAATAAAATATTGAAGATAACACTTTCATAATACCATGACATGAAGGTTGGGGATTCCTCATGATGTACGGCAGCTTTTTCCTCAACTCATTTTAGAGTTTGAAGATTGCACACAGTTTCTGAATGGACAGACGTAAGGCTGCAGGCAACCCCTGATCCCAGATAAATTTATGACTAGCGCATGAGGGAGGGCTGCTCTTGGGTTTGAAACCCAGCCTGCAGTCTCTGTATGTTCCCCCTGTGCGTGTGTGGATTCTCTCCAGGTACTCTGGCTTCCATCCACGGCCCCAAAAATAATGGCATGTTGCATCCTTTGGTGAGAGTGTTACCATGTTACCCTTTCACAGACTGGCACATTGTTCAGGGTGTACCCTTCCTCTGAGATAGGTGACCCTTCACACATACCAACGGGCATAGATGATGGATAGGTAATGGTGACGGCACGCCAGGTTTAGAGTAAATTTCCTGACATGGATTGTCCTTGAAAAATATGTTAGCATATTTCACCAAACTCAAAGAGCAAACTGGACAAGTTCCAAGTGATGAAACAGAATCTTTGGTAATACATATTTAATAAAGATCAATTAGTTAAATACAGTTCATAAAATGTCTGCATGAGGGGATAAAAAAAAAATGCTTACAGCTGATGTCAGACTGTTGGGTTTTCAAAGTAAAGTCTGATGAGATTGGCTTTATCGTCTGTCTTTCAGTTTCAGTTCAATCGAGTTCTATTTTTAAATACTGATATTCTCTTCCTGCATGGCTGTGGTGTTATGCGTTGACGCTCCAGTTCTATGTTGTGTACATAAATTTATCACTTGCTGAATTTGTTAAATTAAAAAAAAATTTTTGTTGTGCTGCATCACACCAGAAGTTCCCTCATTGGTTCCACTTCATATTTCATATGGAGTCCAGATTGAACTTAGTCAATTTGTTCCAATAAAATCCAACCACATAATGTTCAGCCTGGTCCTGATATCAACTCATCTATTGTCTATACCAACCTATACTTGCAGAGTTCAAGGGATACCCACTAGCGCATCACAGGATTCAAGCAAATTCAGTTTAAATTGATCCAAGTTATTGTGTAGTGCAATTGAAAATCAGTTAACCACATTGCTAATTAATATTAGGTTATCTAATGTAGGAGGGAGATTATATCAAGTCAGTAACTATGAAAATCTCTCCTCCTAAAAACAAAAGTTTAGTAGAACTTTTGCAACTTTAGGCTATTTACTTGCCTGCCTTGTATTTGCTTCTTTTTTTTTTTTTTTTTTTTTTACATAATTCTTGACTTCAGACTTGGAAAAAAGAGCTACAAGTCTGAACACAATTCAGCAGGAAAATGTAAAAAAAATAATCACAAAACTTATCCAATAAACAATTCTTATTTCTCTTAATTTAGAGAAAACCAAATTGTGACAATACAAAAAGATGTTCACAAGCAAAAAGAAAAGCTAATTTTTTTTTAACAAAGTCGTCGTCTTAAAGAATTCAGTCCAACACAAATATTTCCATTGGCATGCACTAGATGGCAAGCAAAAGTTTCTTCTCTGTAAAGTATCCAAACCAAATGCCACCCTGCGGTTCTGGTGTTTTTACCCTCCTGCTTCCACCCATCAAACCCGCTTGGCTCTGTGCAGACAGACTTCGGGGCTTTTGTGCAGCAGGTTC